TTGCTTATGGAGAGTAGAGGAGGAGGAGTTTGGGTTCCACAACGACCTATGTAATAGAGAGAGCTTCCTTGGTGAATTAAGTCAACTCTTGGTGCTCTAGTATCACGTTAGAACTATGGTACTCAAAAGGTCAAAACATGGTATTGTTGATAATTCATTTGTGGTGAGGGTAATTGTTAGTCTCAATTGATGCATAATGGATTCACCTTAGGCCAGCTGAAATATCATTTTGTTCTAGTGGAGGTGAGAATTACCTTATTTTCTTGAGGACAAGCAAAAGCTTAAGTTTGGGGGAGTTGATAAGTAAGGATTTAAACCTATTATTTGTTCTCTTTTACTTGTGTTTTGGGCCAAGAATGCATGAAGGTATTCCCGGAAACTAATGTAATATGCTTGCTTGCAGGAATTATTCAATATGAGCCAAAGGAGTCATAACCAACTCATAAAGGAGTCAAAACTTGAACAAAAATCAAGACTAGGCCAAGAGATCTGAAACGCAGATCGTGCAAATATTGTGCGGCCACGAAATCCATAACGCGGTCGCGATCAGAAATACGCGGTACGCGAAAGGGAGGTTTAGAGAGTTGCATTTTCAGGCTAAATGATAAGCGCGAACCGCACCAGAAATGTGCGGCTATGAAAGTCTCTCTAAGGCCGCGATGGAAATTATGCGAACCGTGATGCATGAAGTTCAGAGAGCTCACAACTTGAGCAAAAGAAAGAAGTGTGCTCCGCGTCAGAATTTTGAGGCCGCAGAGTCCCTTACGGGGTCGCGAATGGAATTATGCACGACCGTGAAACTCGGCTCAACCCGGATTCAGATTTGAAGAACGCGGACCGCAATCAGAATTACGTGGCCATGAAATCAAGAACGCGGCTGCGAAAGCAAGAATGCGGCCGCGCTCAGAATTACGCGGCCGCACAACCTCCGCAGGGGTATTTTTGTCCGAAAATTTTAGCTTAGTATAAATAGATCTTTTTGACATTTTTAGGTTATGTTATGTATTATCTGAGCACGTGAGACGGTTGTACATTCCGTTTTGGGTAATTTTGTACTAGAATTATCTTTCAGCATTAGATTTTCATCTTTTAATATAGTATTATGAATTTTATCTTCTTTTCATTTTTGATTTCTGTTATTTCCATAAGTAGTTAAACCCATAGCTAGGGTTGTGACCCAACCCCAATGTGGGTATTTGATAGGTAATTGATTTTAGAGCTTGAATATGAAAGAATTAGTAATATGTGGCCTAGTTCTTGCTAGAACTATAGAATTAATGGTTGCAAACATTGATTCATGCCTTTATGATTTAGTCTCTACTTGAGAAAGATACACTAAGTCTAGGAAGACTGAGCTAACAAGGAATTGGGGTAAACTCAAGAAATTGATAGCCCCAATTAAAGGGTTAAACCTAGAGATAGTAATACCCGACTTGAGCTAATATCACTTGAATTGCATTAATACCCATTTGGACTTGAGAAAGCCAAATTGGGCAAAATCACTCAGATTACCGAGAGGTATAGAGTGAGTACCCGGGTATGATAGCTATATTACGACTCCAACTAATCAAGCTTGCCCTAGATTCTTACTACCCGTTAGATATACACCTAGGTGGAAGTCACGAACCTAGCCTCTTTAAACACTTGAAAAACATCAACAAAAATATTGTCCTTAGTTTCAATCATTGCATACAATAGCGTAAAGTTAGAAGTAGAAATCAAACCCAAAGTTTGTGGAAGTGTAATTAGACTCAAAGCTCGCATCTAGCTTAGATATAAACTTAATTCCAATTATTAACTCCCTGTGGATTCGATCCCGACCTAGTTGGGTTAAAACTGCATCGACTACCTTCTCTACTCAATAGTAGTGTAGGCTTAGACCCGATCACTTCTATTTGGATACAACTTTCGACTACTTTTAAAAAATTGAAAATATTGTTTGTTTATGGAATTTATCAGTGTTTAAAAAGATTTTGATGAAAAAAATTTAAGTTCTAAAAATTTTTGTTTTGCCCAGGTTTTGGGTGAAATTTTTTCTTCCACTCATAAAACTTCAACATCTTTTCAAGTAAAATGCTTGTCCAAACACAACTTCAACTTTCAAAAATTATTTTTTAATACAACTTTAGAATTTATTTTTTAAAATTTCAACCAAATCTAGATCCAAAGGCTAGCTTAGTAAAAGATAAAATCATATTTATCGAAAGAATCTTTGTCTTAAGTGTCGAAATCGAACATCTTTTCAAAAGCAGAGAGTAAGGCTGCTCAAAATCGAACTGTAACCATTAATCGAACCGCAAAATGGCTTATTGTCTTATTAGTATCAGATTATCGAGGTAATGGTTGGTGAACGGATTGAAATTTTATAACTAACGGCTTAGCGGTTTGGCGGCGGATTACTCAATTTTCTTATCGGATAAACCGTTCCCATTAAGAATTTTTGTATTTATACTTTTACCTCTATGTATATAAATTATAAAGTAATATTTATTGGTCGGTTCAAGGTATATCAAACTCGTCATGATCTGGTAACAAATGTAGACCTTGATGTAGGGTTGGACCTAAGTTAATTGGGGAAGAGTAGTACTGCTAGTCTGCTACTTCCATATATACAAGTATATAATTTAAACTAAATGTGGTTGATAATCTCATTGCCCAAATACTACACCCACTCCAGCTTTGAATGAATTTGATTTGCAAAGACAAAGCAAAGTCAAGAAATTTTAGCCTTACTCAGTTAGTTCAGCTTTGAAGAGCACTTTATTGGGGTTCAATTTCTATTTTCTAGTCTTACTCAGTTAGTTCGTTTTCAATACATAGGGCTTCATTTACTTCATCCAGAATCATTACAAAGACAAAGCAAATGTGATGTTTTACTCCAAATTTTTTCTTAATGGATAATCTGATAAACCGCCCGATAATCGCTAATTTGATACCAATCCGCCTGATGACTTATTGGTTGGCTAGTAGATTACTACATTTATAAATCGATAGCCGATAAAATAAATCGTTAGCGTATACATCCGCCCAATCTACCCGATAAGCACACTTAGTGAGAGTCTTTCACATAGTATTATATTTTTTCAATTTTTTTTTTAAAAAAATGTGTTAGTCCAAATTTTGGAAGTTTTTGAAAATAAGTTTTTCAAAAATAAAAAAAATATTATTTTCCCAATCACAAAACTATAATATTTTTTCAAGTGATATGCATGTCCAAATATAATTTTAAATTCCAATATCAATTTTTAACTTAACTCTAAATACTACTTTTTAAAAAATATATATATAATTTTTATGCCCGAACACCTACTAAATATATCATACTCCCTCTGTTCCAGTTTATGTGAACTTATTTCCTTTTTGGTCCATTTCAAAAACAATGACCTCTTTTTAAATTTGGTAACAATTTAGCTTAAACTTACAATTCTACTCTTAATGAGATGCTTTTATAACCATACAAATACTCTGGACCCCTTTTTGACTTGTTTAGGACCACAAATTCCAAAAGTCTTTATTTTTCTTAAAATTCTGTGCCTAGTTAAACAAATTCATATAAATTGAAACGGAATGAGTAATATTTATGTGATTATAAAAAAAATAAAGCATAAAATTTAAAATTAAATTATTTTCGCACATAAAAATACATCATTCTTTTATAAAGAGAAAATGCATAAAATCCGCATTCAACTTGTCATGAAAAATTATTATACACACCTTAACTTTACGGGCAACCTATGTCCTCCCTATTCTTGTTTGGAGTGAATTTAATACCACCCTAAATGGTGACATGGCAAAGACAGTAGTTTCACTCTCCCAAACTCGCGTGTAAGAGGGAAAGAATTTTTTATTTATTTTATTTTTTAATTTTTTTTAAACCCCTCCCAAAAGGATTAAAAATAGACATATATTAAAAATATTAAATCCAACACCCATTCTCCTTGTTCCTCTCTCCTTGTCTCAATCTCTCTCCTCTGTAATTATGATTCAACAATTGTCATTTTAATGGAAAAAATGGAAGCTTAATTAATTCTATCAATTAGCTTAATAAAAAGAAAAACAAAAGTTAATAGAACCAAGACTACCAAGAAATTCGAATTCTTCAGATCTAAGAAGCTTGAGTTTCAACTGAAATTTCAGTCGTGGTACACCTCAAATCAGTTGCCAAAACTTCTCAAACTTCGAATTCAAGTTTGCAATAGTTTCCAACAATTGAAGATAACACCCAGTTGATTTATAAGTAAATTTTTTTCCGACCTGAAACAAAATCCAGAAGGTCAGATCTTGCTAACATATACTACCTTTGCTAATTATTGTTATGGAGGTCAGAACTTGCCCAACAAAAATCCTCTAAAACAATCGGACCGTCTTAAGAAGGCATTTGTGCTTCTTTCATTTGTTTTCCCAGTGATTTGAAGAAGAGTATAATCGTATAGAAAAGAACATGAACAACAAATTTGTCGAGGGTGGACATGACTGATTTAGATCTCAAATTTGAATTCTAACCCATATGGGTTTGATTTGTTTTTTTCAGATTTTCAATAAAGTTGTTCTTTGAGTGTAGATAATAATTTTATTGGTTGTAACCTATGAGAAAATCAATAATTTAGCAGTGTAAAAAGCTTTGAATTGGAAAAGAAAATTGAATATGAGAGAACGGGGAGAGGGGAGGAAGAGAGAAGAAGAATAATTGCATTTGGCTTTTGGTGAAAGGACAAAACAGTCCCTCACATAATAAGGGTGAAAGGACAAAATAGTCCCTCAAAACAAAATAATTAAATAAGTGAAAAAAAATAAAGCAGATATTGACACGTGACGCGCATGTACTACACATTCCACTACAAGACTAACTAAGTGTTACTAATGAGATATTAAATTCATCCTAAATAAAAATAGGGGGACATAAGTTGCCCGTAAAAATAAGGTGCGTGAATAATTTTTCGTGACAAGTTTGAATTATGCATTTTGTGTTTTATAAACAATCAAAGAGGAAATAGTCATAAAAGAGTGAGAGTATTATATGTGGTCCCACGCAACCCATGTGCCCTCCTTCTGTCTCCACCAGCTCCTGCCGCTCAATCATTAGACCCCCCACCCCCAACCCAGACTCCCCTTGCCCTGTTCCCCCTCTTTCCCTCACCCTTTCCTCAATTCTGAGTTTTTGTAAGGCTATCCCAACTACAGTCTTTATGTCGACGTCGGTAGAAGCTAACGGCGCTACACTTAGTTCACATACGCAGCAGCAGCAACACTCTTCTGATGCTGGCAATAATGGTGCTTTGGTAGTGAAGAAGCCGCCGGCAAAGGACCGTCATAGCAAAGTCGATGGACGAGGAAGGCGTATAAGGATGCCAATTGTTTGTGCGGCTAGGGTTTTCCAGCTCACTCGCGAACTAGGTCATAAGTCTGACGGTCAAACCATTGAATGGCTGCTGCGTCAAGCTGAACCCTCGATTATCGCCGCCACTGGTACCGGTACTATCCCTGCTAGCTTTTCAACTCTCTCCGTTTCGCTGCGGAACTCTTCGGTTTCTTCTTCTGTTTCTGCTCCGCTTGATTACAAGTTGTCATCACAGCCGTCGATTTCGCCGGCGCCGTTTTTGCTCGGGAAGCGTCTGCGGCCCGAGGATGACGACGGGAGTGGGGACAAGGATGACGCTAGTAACGGAGCTACGGTTGTGGGACCTACCGCTGGGTTTTGGGCTGTTCCAGCTAGGCCGGATTTTGGCCAGGTTTGGAGCTTTGCGCCGCCTCCTCCGCCGGAGATGGTGGCGCCGACACATTCATCGGCAGCGAGATTTCTTCAGCAACAAATGGGAGAGGAGTCGGCTGCTAGATTAGGGAATTACTTTCCTATAGCTCAAGGGCACCTGAATTTGTTAGCTTCTCTATCGGGTTCCGCACCGCCCTCTTCTGGGAGAAGAGACGATGACGGAAACTGAAGATATGAAGTATTTTCTGTTGATGATATGTATAAATGTGTATTGTTGTTTCCGTAGACGTGACATTGTTGTTAAAGTCTTTAGGGGTTAGGGTAGTGTAGCGAGTGAGAAATGGAGCTAGTTTCTGTGCAATTTGTTGAATTATTGCTAGTATTAGAGTGTTTGCTTCGTTGCATTTGTTAGGGTTTCAATTCTTAAGAAAAGACACAAGAATCAAGGGAGTTGCTTGTGTTGAATTTGGTGGGGATACCAGTATAGGCACATAACTCTAAATAAGTGCTTGACCATTTCGGTAATGGAGAGTGGAGAAGATAACTGTTTGGTGTGTGGACTACCAAAACCTGTAGTTCCACATGAATGTTTTGTAATGAAACCGTGGAGGTTTCTGATGAATTGAATTCTGTAATTTGTTGAAACTGTCAGCGTGAGGTAATCTTTCAGATTCAAAAGAGTGCTATGGGACTTTGTTCAGATACATTCTGTTTCTTGATTAGATGATCTTTTTGTGTGTGTGAAGGTTCACTTGCCCCTGATCAAGTGATACATGAAAAGGTGTAAAATGAAGCACTGTAATTAATATTTTCAGGAGTCTTGATTGAACATGTTTAATGCTTTTGATGTCGATTAGCTGATTTTGAATCTCAGACACCACAATATATTGGAAGGGGAAAAGGAAACCTTTGATCTCTACAATTTATGCTTTCTTTAATTGGTGTATGGAGTAAATAATTGTTTTTCAGGCTTGATATCTGTTCTATAAACTTGCAGTTAATGCCACATTTTGAAGTGGAGAAGCTTGAGTTTCAACTTGAAAATTATTTGATGAATTCTAGCTACACTGTTCTCTCTTATTATCATCACACTATGGATTTCTCGGGAGTACTAAGAAGACTAGACTTCTGAACCTAGTTGTTAAACTGATGTAATCTTCCACATGTTTGCTGACTCACATGCATTTTTTATTATGATGTGCTATTTCAACTAGGAATAGGATAAGAATCATACTGCAGCGTGCTGTAGTATTTTCTTAAGTTAGTTGGAGAATTCTGCTCTGCAGCATCTGAGATTAAGGATATATTTTAGCCTTTTGCATTAGATTTCGTAACATACACATTATGTCTGTTTAGTTATTGTAAAAGGTTACATGGCTTAAAAATAGGCTGATATTTAGAGGACTCAGCTTGAGTTTGCAAGTTCCACCTCCTTACTAAAGGTCAGAAGTATGATGTTTTAACTGTTTACTTGTGATGAAGAAATTCTAAGTGAATAGACTACTAATATTTAAATTTCTGATTGAATTCTTAAACTTTCAGTGGAAATTTACTTACGTTCTGAAAATGAATTGGTGAAACAAGATCAGATTGAACTCTCCAAGTGACATTTGCAGGACTTGTGAAATGCTTTTCAACTACCCTGAAGAATTCAGAAGGTAATGAACCTTTGAAGGGGGGGTGAACAAATGGTAAATCTTTATAAATATTTTAGCAGATGCTAAGAGATTGTTAAATGCTTTGTGCTTTACTTGGTAATTTGTTGAATCTTAAGAGGTTATGGAACATCAGTTTAGTAATTTGGTCTCACATATAAAGAGGAACGACTGATTTGCTAACATCTGGTTGCTCTCATTTTTCCTGTGTTTGTTAATAATGCTGGCAGAAAAAAGAAAGATTTATTTTCATCTTGGAAACATATAGGATAACTCTGGTTTCTGGTACATTGGTTCCCTTAAACATGGCTCTTCAGGGTGTTTTTACTGCTTGTCCCTATGGTGCAGTATCAAGGGTGATCTCTTTTACTGCATGCACTTTGGTTCAAACTTCAAAGTTGTTGAAGTTCATTAGCAACACCTCTTTGTTTGTATATGGTACATTGCTGAATCAGGGCACCATTTATCCATCAACTTCATGGTTAGGGTGGTTAATTCACAGATGCCTGTCTACACTTGTTAGCGCCAATAGATAATGTAGTGGACATAACAAATCTGAAATGAGATTGAGTCGCTAATTGTTTCGTTAGTTTATTTCATAGTATTTGCTTATACAGGGTTCTGATAAGAGTAACTCCAGCAAGCTACCTGTGCAGAATATGACTTCAAATAACAAGGCAATTGTTGAATGATGATAATGTCAACATTCACCTTCGCTTCTAAATTGCTAGGAACAGCTCTAATGTAAATATCGTGATTGTCAAGCTTAAGAAAATCATAACTATAATCCAACGAGGATTGCCTAGGATTGAAGCACGGGAGAAAAACCTTGAGATTTGAGGTTTGCATCCAACTACAAATATTTTGAAAACTTGTTCATATCCAATGTTTTTATCAATTGAATGAATACATGATACGTGCCTTTACATACGTTCTTATTACTAAATTATACTTTCTCTGTTCCAATTTATGTGAAGGTGTTTGACTATGCACAAATTTTAAGAAATAAATAAAGACTTGTAAAATTTGTGATCTAAAACCATCCACAAAAATTTGTGGTTAGAAATTATCTCATTAAGGGTAAAAAGGGAAATGACTTGTTATTAAATATAGAAAGGTGTTGCTCTTTTCTGGGACAGAAGGAGCAGTTAATTAGTACATACTCTCACCTTTATTTATAACTTAATCATTGTAAATTATATTTTATGGTAAAAACGTGGAGCGTGTAAGTTTTTACTTGATGTGAGCTCATATGTTCCAACTTACAAGACGGACAAGTAGTCCAATGAATTGCCGAGGTGTGGCGCAAGCTTGGATACTGCCTGTAGAAAATAAATTGCGTCGAGAAAATAAAATCAGGACCGAAAAATATTGCAACAATCGTAGTATTTTATTTCAAATATTTGAGTGTTACAATCTCTATGGATCCTCTGATTCTTCTTTCCCATAGTAAATGAATTTAAGGGCCTTTGAGCTTGATCTTGAGTATGTAGTTGTCGCCACGAACGATGATCTTGTTCTTGAACTTTAGCTTGATTGCTTGAACTTGACCTTGATTTGTTCTTCGTTCTTGAGCTTGAACTTGATTGCTTGAAGCTTGAAACTTGTGGAGGAATTTGCATCATTGCTTGAAGCTTGAAACTTGTGGAGGAATTTGCATCATTTGATCCACGAGCTCTTTCTTGCTTCTTGTTATAACTTCTGGTGTGAGCTCTTTCTTGCTTCTTGTTATAACTTCTGGTGTCTTTTCTGGGTTATGAAGACACATATTTATAGTTGTGGGAGGGAAGAGTTATGATAAGAACAAACTCTTTTCGACCAATCAAATCGAAGTGTGACAAGGCCGCATTTGATTGGCCAGAACATGTCACTTGCAAACATGGCGCGATTTCATTAGCCTTTTAATATGACTTGGCTTGCCTTGTCATTTTAACATGTGGCATGATTTTATTGGCTCTTCCGCTTGACTTGGCGTGCCACGTCATATGATACTAAACTGGGCCTCTAAGAAGATGACATATTGGCTCTAATGAAGTGGGCTCGTTATTTGTAGCTTAACTAAATGGGCTAGCCAGTCAATATTCATTGGACTTAAGTAAGCAATCCAATTATATTAGCTCATGATATTTATTTGGACCAAAATATATTTAATTGAGATTAAATCCAAATTTCTTATGGATTTAAATTTAATAAAAATTTAATTATCTACAAATGCCTCTTACTTCAAGACTTGTTGAGGTGTAGACTTGTCAAAATCGTAAACGGGTAATGAAATACTAGCGGACCATCAAATTTGGCTTAGGCTAGTTTAGAGCACGAAGGCTTATCCATGCAATTTGTTATATATACACCCAGTCAATTACTTTAAGCAACATAATGACAACTTACTTTGAATGGGAATAAGACAAAACCATTGAAATTGTGATTTCCATATGAAATCGTAATGGCGCCAGTGATTTCTACATTCCTAATTGGGAAAGGAATCTTGTCTTATTGTAATAATTAGAAATAATTCCATGTTCTGTTCACAAACTCCTACAAACAATTTGAGTTGCTTTTGGAGTGTTGTCACCATAATCAAACCAATACACATGATCAAATCCTATACGAAAAACAATTGTAGCAGCCGCCTTAGCAATTCCAATTCTTTTCAGTAACTGATTTCGGCTATTCTCACATTGAAATCTCACTTCCCAATCAGCTTCATAGGAGATCTATATAAATCCCATGCTCATATTCTTATTAAGCATTGGACTGTAGCATCTACAAGCTATCTTGGCTTCGTGTTTTCACAAGGAGGCAATCCGAAGGTAATTTTTTCCTTCTATGTATTTACCGTCGTCCTTTTCTTTCTCTTTTTTTCCCCTTCTTTTCTTTGTAAGTCAACGAGGAGGATATGTTCTTTCTTAACAAGATGATCCATAAATGAAGAAGACAATCATGGGGTGTGAGGGGATGGGTACTCATCCCCGCCCGAATATCGGAGAGATTACTTTCAATATGGCTCGACTATCGGAGAAATTACTCTTAATGTGGCTCTAATATCGGAGAGATTACTCTTAATGTGGCTCTAATATCGGAGAGATTACTCTCTATGTGCCCCGACTATCGGAGAGATTACTCTTAATGTGGCCCAACTATCGGAGAGATTACTCTCAATATGCCCCAACTATCGAAGAGATTACTCTCAATGTGCCCCGACTATCGGAAAGATTACTCTCAATGTGGCTCGACTATCGGAGAGATTACTCTCAATGTGCCCCGACTATCGGAGAGATTACTCTCAATGTGCTCCGACTATTGGAGAGATTACTCTCAATGTGGCTTGACTATCTGAGAAATTACTTTCAATATGGCTCGACTATCGGAGAGATTACTCTCAAGAGACTTGCATGTCCACCTTAAGATTGGAAAGTATAGTTTCCATTTAAGGACAAACTCACGAAGAGGCCAACTTAAGGTGCAAAGGGACTCGTATGTCCACCTTTAAGATTGGAAAGTTATAGTTCCCTTTAAGGACAAACCCACGAAGAGGTCAACTTAAGGTGCAAAGGGACTTATATGTCCACTTTAAGATTGGAAAATTATGAAGCTTCAACTCAAAGACTTCGTGGACTTGACGATGTCGGCTTTAACACTTGGAAAACTTTAAAGATTTGGCGGAATTTGCAGACTTCAAATTGAAGACCGACAAACTTGAAGATTTGATGGACTTGAGGATTCTGCGGACTTTGACGCTTCAACTTGAAGACTTTGAGGGCAAAAATACTTCAACTTGAAGACCGGCGAGTTTGAGGACCTCAACTTGAAGACTTGGAGGCTTAAACATTTCGACTTGAAGACCGAAGAACTTGAAGACCGGTAGACTTAAAGATTTGGCGAACATGAAGACATAGTGAACCCCTGGACTTTAGCGCAAATACTCGGCATCCTCCTAAAATCGTCCCATTGAAGATACCAATATACCATGGAGGGTTGCCCCATTTAAATCAAATGGGATCCAAAGTTTAACAAAGGAATGGTATCTCAACTCGATTTTCAAGTGCTGATTAAATGAATTACACTCTATCATACTTCATTCGGACAACGATTTGGGGGTTATGTATCTTTTGAACTTATGCGACTGAACTCAGAATGAAACTCTAAGCTGCCTACGTACCTTGGTGAAGAGGATCAAGTCATACTGTAGTTCAGAATGAGT